TTCATTTGCGTTGATTCTGTGACCTTATCAGTTCCTCTGGCTGCGGTCTTGTGTCTTGGTGGTGGCGGTGTCCCGCGGCTAGCCTTTTCTTCTGAGCTCTGTTTACCTGCCATTTGGCTTTAGCTTTGGTTTAGTTTCTTTGCTGCACTTTCATCTCGGTAGCCAATTCCCTGTTTGGATGATTCATTTTTATGAACTGTCATATGGGTTTTATCCCAAAACAAGGAGGCAGCACTACCAGTACGCTGCCTGTGTGTGTGAGCTGAGTACAGATGCGCAGTGACCTGTCACTGGCAGATTTTGAAGAAGTGATGCGATTGGCCACTGATCATGCTTGGGGACTGAAGTATTTAGAGAAATTTTTACTTTATCCAAGTACTCAGAGTGAGCTATTATGATGGTAACTGAACTGTGAGCTCTTGTTGGGGGACTGCCTATATCACAAATGTTGCTGTTTCTTCTTTTACTTCTACTACTTCTTCCTTTGGTAGAAAAAAACAGAATATTAAAAAATACAATTTGTGATATTGACTTGACTTTCACTTCAAACATAGTTAGGTGAGATAATGTGTAAGGTAGAAAACAGGAGCTACTTGCTTGGTCCCAGAAGTGGTTTAATCAAAAAGTGTGTGTTCATTCTGTGTGTAACTCAGAGTTCTGAGGCAGGTGCCCCATGTCTCCTTTTTTTGACAGATGAGAGGGTACTTGTTTTGTGCTTAGTAATTCTAAGTGCAGAAAAAGCTTAGGTTTCAGAGTCATGCCTTTAGATGAGTTTTTGAATCTCCTTGAGCCTTTGTTTTCTCACCGTTAAAGTGGAGACATGGCATCTCAGAGTTACTGGAATGAGTAAATGTAAAGAAGTTGTTGTAATGTCTTAGACATATTAGGTGTCCAATATTTCTTTACTTTCTAAACCAGAATTTGTCATTTAGTTTTATTTCCCGCAGTTGTTTGTCATTTATTTTATATTGTCCAATTTGATGCAATAGGAACAATTTTAGAATTAATGCATCTATCATAATAATGTAAAAGCAAACAGTACAGATAATAAAAAATATTACCTGTCAGCCTCAAAAATGGTTAATCTAAAAATGGTAACTTCAGTAAGTTCTCCCAGTAGTATCAATCATATTTCTCAGAATGATGATGATGTTATTTTTTTTTTTAAATTTTAAGGTAAAATTAGGTTTGTTCATTTTAAAGGGATGACTTAAAGGGTATTTGTGTTTAGAATTTTTGACACAGTTTTTTTGTTGAATTTCTCCTATTTTCTGAAATGATCCTGAAAAGGATGAAATACCTCATTTTATATGCAGTAAGTTATCTATAATCCCTTCCACACATTGGTGTACTTTATTATTTTGTCTGATGGGTTTCTTACCATTTTAACTTTTTTCTTAAGATATGAAGTTTTAATTAATACTATAATTTTGATTTATTTTTAGATGCTTGTTTTTGATAGTGTTTTTTTCAAACAGTCAAAATGAGATGATAGATCTTTTTGACTCTTCTCAGTAGTATAAGGAGGCACAGTCAATTAAGAATAATTGACATAAAGAGGCATCTGAAAACAAATGCCCCTTCTGCCCTATTTTTACATGTGGCCCATTGTGCGTAGCATTTGACCCTTGCCCAGAACAGGATATGCAACTCAAATTTGTCACCTTTTGATTTCCTCCAGCAGCAGAAGAAAAGAAATCTCTAAAGCGGACTTTTCAGCAGATACAGGAGGAGGAGGATGATGATTACCCTGGAAGCTACTCTCCCCAAGATCCTTCTGCAGGACCCCTCTTGGTATGTTTGACTCCCCCAAAATAGGGTTCAGTGGCTTAAAGTGACCTCTAGTTAAAGATTATGGCCACAAGGTGGCACTGGTGGCCAATCATATGGAATCACCAGAGGGCAGTTCTGGGCATCTAATACAAGATCTCATCCAGAGAAGCCTGCTGTGACTCTTGACCCGAGTTTATGTTTTTTAAAGTATTTGGATGTGATATTTTACTCCTAGAATTTAAAAATATTATTAAAAAGTAGATTGTTGCGAAAGGGGTAGATAATATGTTTAAAAGACATTCCAAAGTCTGCTGTGGCACGTCTCCAGTCTTCTGTTGTGGTGTTTTGCAAGTAAACAGCTTGTTCATATCTAGAACAGTCTGTGTGCTGAGAGTAAACTTTTATACTATAGCCAATTTAAATGTTAAAACAGGGAGTTTGCCTTTAACCATGTGTTTGCATTATTTGGGCTTTCATAAAACAAGTCAGCTTATGAATTCTTTGGTTGGTTTATTTCATCTATTTTATAGCCCTTGAGAATGAGACTCAAAATGACCGATTTTTAGTAACTTTCCCAGTGTCTTAATTTGAATCCAGGTCTGTCTTGCCCATGCCCCTCTTATTTTGTCTAAATCAGCTTTTATTACACGTAGGTGAATTCAAAGCTTATGTAAATGGGCTTGTGTCTTGTTAAAATGATTAAATGAAATGGCATTAGGTGACATACCTTTGCATCCAAAAACTTTAAAGAGAGCAACCTGAATTATCAGCTTTGTGGTCATTTAGCACTCTGTGCAGAGTAAGCTACTCTTAGGTCATTATGGACTGGCTTACCTGTCAGTATTCTCTTTTCTGACAATTTAATAAACTCCTTTTAATACACACAGAATACATATTGGTTTGCTTTTCTTTTTGCCTCTCACCGTTGTTTATAGTTAGTGAGTTTGACTCTTTTAATTTGGGGAGTGATGATCATTTTGTAAAGCAAACTCAATTTGATTAGTCAATGCACAATTGTTGAACAGTTGATATATATATACCTTCAAGAGTTTTGCAACATTTCATTTGTGTCCTACTAGAGAACTAGAAAAATTAATTTTGTACATTCTTTTAGACTGTCATTGACTTCTGTATAAGCTCTGGAACTAAGACTTACGTTTTCAAAAGACCAGAAATGACCATTTTTAAAATTTGCCTTCACCTAATTTAACTCCAGCTAATTTTCTTTAAAATTCATATGTCTGTACACTATAGTGTTGTTTCTATTTTTATTTTATAGACTGAGGAACTGATCAAAGCTTTGCAGGATCTGGAAAATGCTGCATCAGGGGATGCTACTGTTCGACAGAAAATTGCTTCTTTGCCTCAGGAAGTGCAGGATGTTTCTCTATTGGAAAAAATAACAGGTGAGAAAGTGGAGTGTGGATGAAAGAGGAGAGAAGAGGAACCTATATGTAGTCCCTCTACAGAGCATCAAACCCTAGGACATGTGTATGTCACTTTCCATGTGATACTGGGTGCTCTGCTACCTTGGGATTTGTGAACAGCTCACATGCTGAACAAAGAAGCTCTTGAAATAGTCAGTACTGATTCCAAGAATTATTGCAGAAGTGCTGGCATGCCACACCTGTGGGCACTCTAAATAAGGTACCAAACGGAGGTGCTGTCTGAGGGAAGAAAGTTCCACCACGCAAATGGAACAGAGTATGGAAAACCCTCAAGGCCAGATGTGCTTAGAGCACATAGCATAGCGCAGAGGCCTTTGGAGTCACTTGAGAAGCATTTGCACTCCCTCGTTCTGCTTCCCAGCTCCAACAACTCAGCCTTGCTGGGAGGACACATGGTCTGTTGATCCTGCAACTCCTTCTAGCCTTTGAGTCCTCATTGTCTGTACTCAGCTTAGAGTCTTTGTCCTCTCTCACATACACCTTCAGCATCTGTTGTTCTTTCCTCCTTCACTGTAAAATCCCCTAAACTGGTTAACTCCAACTTTTAAAGAATTATTATTCCATGGCCCACCTCATTCTTTTTGTCCCAGTATTGGAGTCACACCCTGCATGTGAGGCAAGTCCTCTATCATGGAGTTGCACTGTTAGCCTATTTTGGTTTTTTAAATATTTATTTATTTTTTTCCTCTACCAGGGATTGAACCCAAGGACACTCTACCACTGAGTTCCATTCCTGGCCTTTTTCATTTAATTTTTATTTTAACTTTTTAAAATTTTTATTTATTTATTTTGATGTCAGGGATTGAACCCGGGGTACTCAACCACTGAGTCAAATCTCTGTCCCTGTTTTATATTTTATTTTGAGACAAGGTCTCACTAAGTTGCCTAGGGCCTCACTAAGTTGCTAAGGCTGGCTTTGAACTTGTGATCCTTCTACCTCGGCCTCCTGAGCTTTTGATGCCACCTTGCCCAGCACCCTTATATATTGACAGATCTCAGTATTTTGCTAAGATTGGCCTCAAACTTGCAGCCTCCTGAGTCCCTGGGGTGACAGCACCCTTAGCCTGTTAGGATTTTTAATTATGATAAAAATTCATGTAAAAGAATATAGTTTAGTAGAGTTACGTACTTTTACATTTCTGTGCAACCAGTTTCCAGAAATATTTTCATCTTATGAAACTGAAATTCTATACTCATTAAACAATAGCTCCTCATTTTCCCCTTCCCTTACCCACTGGCAGTCACATCCTTAAATCCAGCTCTTTATCTGCTCCATTCCTACACCTGTGCAGCTGAACATAGCTGGGAAAAGTAAATTATACATCTAGGCCAGCTTCCTCTTATTTCTCTGGATTAACATCTGTTTTCCAAACCTGCCGCTCCCCCTGTGTGTTAGACCTGCTCCTCCTTACTCACTCAGGGACATTGCGCCACCCATGTTCCCTTTTTCTTCTTCATGCCCAACAGGATCATTCTGAATAACATAAAGCCGTTTGTGTGTGGGCGCACTAGGGATTGAACTGAACCCCAGGCTTTCAGTTTGCTAAGTATGCATTCTACCACCAAGCTAGAGCTTCAGCCCCATAACATTTTGTATTTTTCCGCATGGGAAAGTTTTTTTTTTTTTTTTTTTTAAATATCTTTATTTTATTTATTTATTTTTATGTGGTGCTGAGGATCGAACCCAGGGCCTCCCATGTGCTAGGCGAGCACTCTCACGCTGAGCCACAATCCCAGCCCTGACATGGGAAAGTTGTTTTCTTTTTTTTTTTTTTTTTTTTCTTTTTCATGCCATTTATTTAGAACAGTTTTTCTATACCCATTTCCCCCCTAGTGAATGTACTAGCCTTATTTAAACAAAGATGAGTGAGTCAAGGAAGAAAAGAGATTTTTAGGGGTAAGCCTGAGGTTTGAGAACCACCACACACCTACCCCAACCCACCTTTCCACTCATCCCCTTCACCTTTACACACTTCAAACTCTAGGTGAAACAGAAGATTTCCTTCTATCATGTTGTTCTTCCCATCATTTCCTTTCTTTGGAAATACTACGTCCCAGCCCCATTAAGTCTTTGTTTGTTCACATCTAAACTTTCATTTGAGACCCAGCAGAGAAGCTCAACTCCAATAGTCTTTCCTAACCCTCCTTATTTCCTGGAAGTGCAGCGTGGCAGTGACATATTATCATGGCATTGAGAACAAATACAGAGGACACAAAACTACCTTAATTCTGTCTCTCCTTGTAAATCTTCAGATCTGTCTGGGTAAGGCCAGTCAAGTTTTAAAAGATTATAGTAATTGTACATTTAAAAAAAAATATCTTCTAGTTTACATAAACAATTTTAGAGTAAACATTCAATAAGGCATTTTCCCCATTGCTCCCAAGATTTCATCTCTTTCTGCTGCTGTGGGCATAAATGGTGTCACTCCATTTTGTCTTCTTTGGATCATGATGGAATTCCAAAATCTCCGGCAGTTTTTGTACTTCAAGAAGTAACTGGAACATCTTTCCTTATCATAGTTATTTTCATCCATACATCTGCTAGAAGCATCAGATTCCAACAAACAAGGATTTATGTCAGGATCTCTCAATCGGTGCGTCACCACGGGCATCCTAGGTCTTCTTACTCGGGCTGCCGCTTCGCCAGCGCCCAGGCCGTCTCCAGCTCCAAACACCGAAAGTTGTTTTCTTGATCCCATATCTTTCTCTAGTTACTGCCTCATTTCTTTGCTCTTTTCAGCATGACCCCCTGACTGGATTGCTTCTGCTGTCCCCACGTCCTGCCCTCCCATTTTCCCCCGATTCCACTCTGTTGAACCTGCTCTTGTCAGAGTTGTGATGCCTGCCTTGTTGCCGTGTTCTGTAGTATATTCCCTGCCCTTACCTTAACTTTCCCCAGTAGCATTCAGCCCAGTACATTGTTTCCTCTTACTGAAAATACTTTTCTTTACTTGGTTTTGTAGATAGACTAATAGTCCTTCCAAAATGTCTGATTCCTAATTCCTAAAACCTGTGAATGTTATCACATGTAGCAAAAAAGACATTGCAGATGGGAAGAGTGTCCTGGGTTATCCAGGTGGGCCCCCATGCAATCACAGGGTGGGAAAGTAGAAGTCAGATAAGGAGATAGAGATTGCAGGAATGTGCTTTAGAGATGGAGGAAGGGGTCCTGGTAATAATTGGTTTTAGCAGCAGTAGTCATTTAGGACCCCACATTCTTCTAGCTTTCCTCCCCTCCCTCTGACCGAGTCTTTTCCCTCCTTGCTTGTTTCTTCCCTTCTCCTTGTTCACCTAGTGTTAAGTACTTAGCCCTCTGCAGTTAGTTTCACTGGCAGTTGTTCACTTAGTCTCATGAATTTAGATAATTTCGTACTGATGTCCCCTAATTTAATCTCCAGTGTTGACCTTCCCTTTGAACTTGAGACCTGTACATACAACCTCCTGCTCAGTTTTAGTAGATGTCTTTATAGGCATTTTAAACTTAACCTGCCCCAAACTGGTCTCTGAAACTTATTTCTCTCATGGTCTTCACATCTCAGTGGGGCCCACTCCTTATTCCCATTGACTGGGACCAAAACCAGTACCTGATATCTTGTCAGCGACTCTGCTGCTACCTGGCACAAGTCACCACCATCCTCACTGGAATTATTGCAGTAGCCTCCTTCCCAGTCTTCTCACTTCTTCCATCCTTGACCTTCATCCCATTCTCAACGTAATAACCAGAATGGTCCTCTTAAACAAAAGTCGAATCGTGTCACCCTCTGCTCAGAAAATCCCAAGGACTCTGCTCATCACTTACAGTAGGAGCCGGAGGCTTTCATTGCCCCACAGTCTGGACCTATTATCTTATGGACTTTGAGCACTTTCCCTTTGCGCTGTCCTCTGGGCTCCTTCCCAGGTACCCTCCCCTCTCAGAGCCTTTTATTAGCTGTTCTGTGGTGTCCCTTTCCTTCAGGCCTTTGTTTGCATATCACTTTAGTGAAGCTTACCCTGACCACCTTATTGAAAATTGTGTCCCCTGCCCCACCCCAGTGACCCATTCTTTCCCCTCTGCATACAGTATTATGTGTTGTTTCTCTTCCTACCTGGAGGGCAGAGTTTTTGTCCTCTTTGTCACCTGCTATCTCTGAGAACCACTGCACTCAGTAAGAGCTCAGGTATTTGTTCGGCTGGTTGAGAGACTGAACACACAGGATTGATGGGTTTTAAAGCTTGGTTGCAGTAGTGCACACCTGTAATCCCAGCAGTTTGGGAGGCTGAGGCAGAAGGGTTGCAAGTTTAAAGCTGGCCTCTGCTACTTAGCAAGACCCTGTCCCAAAATACAAAGCAAAAAGGAAGAGGATGTAGTTAAATGATAAGGCACCCCTGGGTTCCATCCACAATACGGGGTGGGGGTGGGGGTCCTGACTGGAGTGGATTTAGTGGTGTAGGAGGAGAGTGGTAGTTACAAGGGGTAGAGACAACCTTTGAATTTTCTGTGAAAGAGGACTGGGGAAATGGGCAGTGGCTGGAGAGTGGCTGGAACACATACTGTCCATTGATATGTTGATAGTAATGCTTCAGAAAGGGGAGAGGAATCCATTAGGCAGGGAAATACAGGACTGTCACACAGTCTTCACATCAGCTTGGGAGGTATGTGGTGTCCATGCACAGGTGGAGGGTGACCACAGAGGCTCACAAGTGCTCATCTGGCTCGTTAGGGAGGGCAAGGTGCCAGAGCACAGTCACAGGTAAGTCCCCGAAGCTAGATCTTGCTTCTACATTTGGACTACAATTTTTTATGACTCCTTAAACAATAAAAAGTTATTTTTCTGAGTTGCAGTTGTTTGGGCAAATGATTTATTTCCTTTGTGCGGTTCTTGAGGGTGAGAATTGATTTTTTAAAAAATCTTAAATCTTAAAAGTTAGTGATTTCCTTGTCGTTTTCCCCAGGCATTAAGACATCTTAATGAATCAACCACTTAAAAAAAAAAAGTCAGTTAATCAAGCAATGATAAAGCTAAAACTAGCCTGCCTGCTTTCCTCAACAGTTTGTTCCCAGACCATCCTCACTGATGTGGAAGAAGAGTCCTAGTCCTCTCTGCCCTCCATGATGGAGGCCCTTTCTTTGGGCCCTGTTTTGCTCACTCTTTCCCTTCACCCAGAACATCCTTTTGTTCCTTGTCCCTGAGGAGGTGGAAGTGTCTGATCTTGGCATCAGGCCCAGTTGGGAACGCCTCACCAGTTCACCTCCCAGTATTCATGTTAAGGAGGCATGTATGCTGTTTGCCAAACAGATATGATGGTACAAATTCTTAAATCTCAGTTACCCGAAGAATGCCAAGGTCTCTCACCTCGGACAGCCTGTGACAGATGTGTATCACCAGGAACTCACTTTTTAGTTGTCTCATGGAACTGTTGGAGTCTGGAGCTTTTTGTTTCAAAGCATTTACCTACTGTTTTGATCTTTAAAGGTCTTTTAAGAATAAGAAGTAACACATTTCAAGTCCTAATCTCACCACACATAATTAATTACAGCAGTTCTTTATAAATACAAATCTTCCTTTTGTTTCTTCTCATTTCCTTGTGTTGAGTCTCTGTTCCACTTCTTACCAAAGATATCCTTTCTTATTGCTCAGGACAGGTTTGTTTCTTCCCCCTCCACAAAGCATGGGTTGGGAGCCATTTATTGGACATGAGTTCTGTCCAGTAGGTAATGACCAACCCTTTTAAAAAAGCGGAGTAGAATGAAAGAACACTTGGCACAAAGTAATTGTAAGTACTGTTTTGTGAAATGTTTATTTTTCTATGTGTTTACATAAAATATATTTCTATGGTGGGTCATGTTCAAAAACATTTGAAAGCCTCTGCTCCTTATCAGAACCTTTATTTTGCTGAATTCAGGAAAAGAGTTCAGGTTTCAGGTTTTCATAGTTGAAGAGGTAGGTTTAGAGATCTGACTTTGAGGCCCAACTCAACTGACCACATTGAACCTCTCAGCTGACCACATATTGAATTCTCATTGATCATATTTTGTCTGTTTCCACACTGAAAGAATGAGTGTTTTTTTTTTTTTTTAATTTCAGAGGGATATAAAAAGAATATTTAATGAAAAACATAGGCAAAAGCCCTTGAACTTCTCAGATGAGGAAAAAGTATTTCATGGGTGACCTTAATTATATTTTTGCTTGTTTTGTTCAGAGAGCTTTTGCAGGAATGGGCGTTCAAACATTGTTGCCAGATTTCTCCCCTGTACAGTTGCCTCCCTTCAGGTGATTCAGGAATGTCCTGTCTTGTTGACAGAGTCAGACAGAGCCTTTGGGTTTCTTGCCAGCCAGCTCATTGTTTGTCCATAGGTTCTGGCTTATTTTTGGAATCCATAATGGGAGAGAAACTGCAAATCTCCCCTCAGAAATGTTTGCAGTTGTACCTGTGTGATTTCTATTGTTTCTTTTTTTTGGTCTCATTTTTACTCAGACAAAGAGGCAGCTGAACGTCTTTCAAAAACAGTAGATGAAGCATGTCTGTTACTAGCAGAATATAACGGGCGCCTCGCCGCGGAACTGGAAGACAGGCGCCAGCTGGCTCGGATGCTCGTGGAGTACACCCAGAACCAGAAAGACGTGTTGTCAGAAAAGGAGAAAAAGCTGGAAGTGAGTACATTGCAAAGCAGAACCAGGCTGCCTGAGGCTCCCTTCCTGTAGGGAGGGTGTTTTTCTTTTTTTTTAAATATCTTAGTTAACATTTTTATCTTTTAAAAATTTGTAAGATGGCTAGGTGCTGTGGCACATGCCTGTAATCCTAGCTACTTGGAAGACTGAGGTGGGAGGATCACAAGTTCAAGGCTAGCCTGGACAACTTAGCAAGCCCCTGCCTCTAAATAAAAATTAAAAAGGGCTGGGGGTATATATAACCCTAAGATAACCAGGAAAAAAAAGATGATGGGAACATCCATTATTTGAGCCTACTTAAAAATCAAAGTCATGTTTTCATGTGTCCAGGAAAGAACTAATTGGATTATAGAAAACAGTGAACTCTTCATGACAGCATTTAGGACCTTAATATTACTTTAGTTTAACCTCATTTAAAAAAAAAAAAAAAAATCGAAGTACAGAAATGGTCAGCAAAATCAAAGAATATTTATTTGGTGATATTTAGGAAATGCTTTAATTTTTTTTTTTTTTTTTTTGGGTGGTTTTTTGGGTTTTTTTTCTTTTATCTCTTCTAAGGCAAATACATTATCTGCTTCCATGCTCTGTTTATGGTAATTTCTAAAATTTCAAAGTAATTTTTTGTTTTGTTTTTTTAGTTTTTATGGTACTAAATATTGGAACCAGGGGTGCTCTACCACTGAGCTACATCCCCAGACCCTTTTATTTTGAGACAGGGTCTCTAAGTTGCCAAGACTGGTCTCAAACTTGCAATCCTCCTGCCTCAGCCTCCTGTATCACAGGGATTACAGGTGTGCCACAGTAATTACACCAGGCTTCTGTAATGTATCTGGAGCTAGATTCTCAAACTGTCAAAAAGGAACTCATTTCTACCCTGGGCCAAGGGCATAAGTCTGAGTGCCCTCGGGAGCAAGTTGAGAAGTGTTTCCTCACCATGCACTTATTTGGCTTCTTAATTAAGTACACAGTACCTAGTCCCATGGGATAACAGAGTCAGCAGTGTGGACATT